AGGGGAGACAGCTATTCGCTATTCTCTGGAGTATCAGCTATCCTGTGGGGTGTCTGGAAGCTAAGTGTAACTTCCAGACTTATTCAGGCCCAGCCAGTGTAGCTCCCTTCTCCTTTGTTAATTCCTAGCTGCCTGTGCTAACACAGGAATTTTGGCTATAATGAGCAGAAGAATTTTGGAGAAGTATATCTATCTCACCTTGTTCTCAATACCATTTTTGAATTTCTTCTCCTTTCTCATCTGGTTGGCAATGTTAGCTCTTGTCATTCATCAGATTTCCATAGGAGTTTTAAAATGCACCGAGGACTTGTTTTAATCAGGTATAGTAAGGTGACAGGCAGGGAGATAGCTGCCTTCCAAGGAAATGTATTACCTACAATACCCCAGAGGACTGATTACCTCATGCCAATGGGCCACCTGGGGAAGGAGCAGGGTCAGCCAGGAGGCAGGAGTGAGAGGAAGGCATGGGCACAAGGCTTTGCTGTGGCCTTTGCAGGGAGGAATGGCTGAGGCAAAGTAAGCATTTTAGGATTAGCTAGTTTGACTAATTCCAGCAGTTCTGGGCTTTAGGGGTGCACCCTAGGTGGCCAATATCTGGCCCTGGGCTGATGCAGGGCAGGGAAAGTCCTGGCTTGGTAAGTGAAAGTTAGATAAAGGAGAAGGTTGGAGGGGTTGGTTGGCTTGTACATGGAAGGCTTGGTCACTAGGAGTCTTTACTGTCCCTAGGAGTGGGCCAGCCTTCGGAGAGGCAGTGTCTCCAGGGTCAGCGAGGCCCCAGGATGCCAAAGCATCGTAAAAGACAGAACACAAAACCCGTGATTGATAGTACGAGGGGGTTTCCCTTCCTGATCAATGTGTCTAGCTTGTGCTCATAGAAGAATGCCTTCATTACCAGAGCAGCCCCTCTCCATCTTGTTGGATTAAGTCAGTCGTTGGTTTTCACTTGTCCCTTTGCTCTTCCAAATAAATTTTAGAATAAGCTTAGAAAGCTCCATGAAAAACTCAGAATACGATTTAGATAGAAATTTAGCTAACTTTATAAATCAATCAGGAAAAAGCTGACTCTATTGAGTCTTCCTGCTCACGAACATGATGCATCTTTACATTTATTGAAATTGTCTTTAAAGTCCTTCAGTAAGGCTTTTATTGTTTTCTCAATAAAGGTCACATCAACTTTTGTTAGCTTTATCACTAGGTAGGCTTTTCATTTCAATTGCCAAATTTTGATGGAAATAAGAAGAATTCTTTTGTTGGGAACAGTATCTTTTTTAAAATATGCTTTCAATGGTTTGTTGCTGGTATATGGGATTGCAGTTGACTTTTGTCAGTACCTTTAGTCTTATAACAATGAACACTTAGCAATTATAATAATTTTCCTGCAGATTCTTTTCAGTCTAATGTGAATACCTTTAATTTCTTTTTGTTTACCTGTGCCTCTAAGACCTTTTCATTACAATATTATGTAAGTAATAATAGTAGGAATACTTTCTTTAGTTCTGATTTTAAAGAAAATGCTTTTAACATTTTACCTTTTTTAAAATATATTTTTAATTGATTTTAGAGAGGAAGGGAGGAGAGCGATAGAAACATCAATGATGAGAGAGACTCATTGATCGGCTGTCTCCTGCACACCCCACACTGGGGATCAAACCTGCAACCCAGGCAGGCGCCCTGACCGGGAATCAAACCCTAACCTTCTGGTTTATAGTCCTATGCTCAACCACTGAGCCACGTCAGCCGGGCTTAATATTTTACCTTTGAGTATAATTTTTGGTATAGGCGTTGGGAGATACCTTGTATCAAGTTAAGAAAGTTCCCATTTCATTCCTGGTTTACAAGAAGACATTTTAAAGCAGGAATGCAGATGATCATAAAGTTTTTAACCTTTTTTTTTTTTAAATAATGTAGTGGAGATAATTTTAAATGACTTTTAATTATATAATTCAAAATAATTATTTAGGTTAAAAGAACACAATGTTTTAAATTAGAGCTTTATTGAGTCAAGGTTGAGGGAAAACAATAGAGTGAAATTATTGCAAGATCTTTATTAACGTAATCAGTTTTAGTCAATAAGGGATTTGGGGTTAACTCAATATTAAAGAGCTCTAAGTGAAGAGTTTCCCCCTCACACACTTGTACGAAGGTCGTAACTGCCAGTTTGCCAAGTCATTTGTAAAAGTGTCTGGCTCTAAGCACAGCCTTTCTTCAACATTCGCATTAGTGAAGAAGGAGAGCGATTGGAAAATGTAACACATTTCAGCTTGAAGAGAATTTCATCCCCACCTCCCGGGAGCATCACTGCCTCCTGGCTCCCTGAACGCCAACAGTAAGAATCCTGGAGGAATAAGCGGAAGGAGGGGTGGGGGGGCCTCAGCACTCAGCGCCCCTTCTTTGCCCCTAATTGAAGGTGCCAGCCTAGGACATTTCAGGCCAGGTTTGGGCCCACACTGTAAAATATACATCTTGCATCCTGCAAGCAAACTTGCATTTATTTATGGATAAGTATTAATCATTTTAATCAAAGTAGATAATTTTTCAAAAACCAGATCCATTTTTTGATGAGTCATGATTTCGTGAGAATACTGGGGAATGCTCCAGTCGCCACCGCCCTGGTCCATGGCCCGCTGTTGTGTGAGGCCTCTGGCAGCATGGGAGGTGTCAGAGGCCCCTCTCATGTTTAGGGGGGCTGGGTCCCTGGGAAGGGGGATGAACACCAACTAACCAACACCCCTACATGGTAGATATCATGCTTTGATTAAAGAGAAATAAAATACAGAACATGTGTATTAGGGCTGAAGAAATGTAGACTAGACCAGTAGTCGGCAAACTCATTATTCAACAGAGTCAAATATCAATAGTATACAACGATTGAAATTTCTTTTGAGAACCACATTTTTTAAACTTAAACTTTTCCTAACGCCACTTCTTCAAAATAGACTTGCCCAGGCCGTGGTATTTTGTGGAAGAGCCACACTCAAGGGGCCAAAGAGCCCCATGTGGCTCGAGAGCCACAGTTTGCCAACCACTGGACTAGACAACTGACCTGAGTAAATGAGAATAAAGAATTTCTTGCAGGAGGGAAATTAATTTTAGAAGCTGAAAGATAACATTGTGTGACCCTAGACTGTTACTTAAGCTTTCTGTGCCTCAAGACTCATCATCTCCCATATGGAGCAATGACAGTGCCTACCAGATGAGGGTAGGGTGGTCCAGGAGGCCTCTGTGAGTTAGTGGGTTAACGGGGCCTGGCACTCGGTAAATGGGGGTTAGCAACATCATCTGACACCACAGCTTCACATTCTTGGACACTGCAGACACCTGAGGATGATATTATATTATCCTATATAATAAAGAGCCAATATGCTAATTAGACCCAGCAGCAGAACAATCATTCAGACGACCTTCCAGATGAAGCCAGAGCTGAGAGGCCTGAGGCATCAGGCCTCTAGTGAAGTCTGAATAGACAATCAAGGACAACTAGACAGTTGAGGAAAAATGACAATATGAAATTAACAATAATTATCATTAGCACTAAGTGCTTTCATTAAGTGCTTACTATATATCAGAAAGTGTTTTAATCATTTTGCATAGATGAAGTCACTTAATCTTTACAACTTTATTTCACAAAGAGGAAACAAAAGCATAGAGAACTATGCATTTTTACTTTATTGCAAAAATGACAACATGAAAGAACATTTTGGAAAAGGAAAAGAAAACATGATTGTTCTTCTATGCCTCATACAGAACATTTCATTTCCCTAAATGAAATATAGGAAAGTCGTGCATAGCCAACTTAAAAAAAAACCAACAAAAAAACCCAAAAACTTTATTCTTTGTATAAAAATGGTGCACGCTCATTAAAAAAACTCCAAGCACCTGGTTGAGTGTTGACCCATGCACCAGGAGGTCACCAGTTCGATTCCTGGTCAGAGCACATGCTTGATCCCCAGTGGGGGGCTGTGCAGGAGGCAGCCAATTAATGTTTCTCTCATCAATGTTTCTATCTCTTTATACCTCTCCTTTCTTCTCTCTCTAAAATAAATAAAAACATATATTTTTAAAAAGCTCCAAGCAATAAAAGTACAAATGAAATGCAAAACGGAAAGATGATATTTAAGAACAGAATGCTGCCTGTGTCATGTGACCCTTGACACTGGTGTGTCTATTGTGCCAGTCACTGATGTAAAATATTGCTCCATGAGCCCTCACTCATGTGGCTCAGTTGGTTGGGTGTCATTCCATGCACCAAAAGGCTGCCACTTCCATTCCCAGTCAGGGCACAGAACCGGGGTTGTGGGCTCCATTCCCGGTGGCGGTGTGTGTGCAAGGAGGCAGCCTATCAACGTTTCTCTCTTGTCGGTGTTTCTCTGTCTCCCCCTCTTCTTTCAAAATATTTTATATTATGAAATACTAAACCACCTGATGTACCAAAACGTTATCAGTCCCTATATTATACAAGTTTAAGATATAGCAGATGCCACGAGGCAAAGTGAGGGCGTGGTCAAGATGTTTACAACATTCTCGTGGGTTTCAATCCCACTCAACTACATGCACCTGAACTCTATCAGGCCCACATCACTGAGGCACGTAGAGCCGTGTGTTCAGACCACAGGTTCAAGCCCACAATCATAGCTGTTGGCTATCATTGACTTATTTTAACCCTTGCTTGAGGATATGTTTTTATTGACTTTAGAGAGAGAGGAGGGAGAGAAAGACACAACAATGTGAGAAACATTAATCCGTTGCCTCCTGTAAGCACCCTGAGCAGGCATGGAATCTGAAACTTGGTTTGTGCCCTGATCTGGGACCAAACCCACAGCCTTTTGATTGACTGGATGATGCTCCAACTGACTGAGCCACCCGGCCAGGACATGATTATTTTCTAGAACAAAAAATAAGGTCCTTTGTACAAGACATTGGAAACTGTGAGGGCTCTTCTTGATAACTTGGTATTATCTTTCTGATAAATAAGTTCTTGATATTTTCTTTCTGTTCATTAGAGACCCAAGGCTTTCACCACTAAACCAAAACCCCAACATCTCTGCTGTCAGCATCATAAGCACGCTGAGAAAACAAGGTAATGCTTTCCTTAGCATCTGAGGAGATGTTCTTGACGTATGTAACTCTGAAAAAAATTGTTATTCAGATTTTCGTGAAGGGTTTGAGTCTGAAAAAGATTCTGTTGAGAAGAAAGATGCATAACATCTCATTTCTAAGCTAAAGGGGCCCTCCATCACCCCCCGCTCACCACTTCGGCTTAGAGGCCAGAGAGGCTGAGGGGGATTGAACTGAGACCAGAACCCAAGGTTCTGGATTTGTAGACATTTTTCCTTTGTGTCTTGGAAAATGGGGAAAGGAAAAAAGAAAAAGAGCAGGTAATCGAAATAAAAGCTCAAGATGGGCTATTTTATTAGTCAGAAAGTAAAGCTTTCTGGAAAGTTCCCCCAACTTTTCTGAAAAAACATCAGCCAATTTCCAGATGAAACTAGTGAAAACATAAGACTGAAAGCTTTCAGAAAGATGCTTCTTGCTCTTTTAAATGCAAAATAAGCACATTTCAAAAGCACTTCCTGTCTGCACCCCGAAAGGCTGGGTGTAGACTGGGAAGAAAGGATTATGAACTGATGTCCCCCATTCGGCTTTTACGGCTCCCCAGCAGGGTCCAGGGGATCTGTAAGTCCGCGGGCCAGGCTCCGTGCCTACATTGATAGACATAAAGAAATGCTTGGCGGGACATTTGAGATCTCACATCCTCATGATCCCGTGCTAACATCCCTTGTTAAAATTAGCATAGGTCTTTCCTGATAGAGGCCTACTCTCTAAAGCCCCACTAGGGTTATTTCTTTGAGCCCCAAGGCTACACACGTTCTGGGGGTGCTAGTTCGTCCCGTACTCAACCCTAAGAGCCACTCATGTTTCCACAGGTGGGCCTCAGGAGCGCCGTACACCAGGTTCGGAGGATGGAGTGACCCCGAAGAGGACACCTACTGCACAGTAAACGGGAGTGCTGGGAGCAGGAACCTAGAGAGGTTTCCGGTGGGCTTGAAGCTTGCTGTGTTTGGCATCTTCGTCATCGTGATATTTGTCTACATAACCGTGGAAAAGAAGCCGCTCCTTTGGTTAAGCACTTTAGGAGCAGAGCTATGATTGCTTCAAGCTCTACTGCTTCGTGGAAGAACGGGACTGCTCTGAGGGGGAGGGCCAGCCCTGCAGCCAGGTAGTCTTCCTGTGCACTGTGCCCGCTCCATGCTCCGTACCCAGGCTCAGCCGGGTGGAAGGAACAAGGGGAAGAACGAGAGCTGAACCAAAGGTACTTCCAGGAGGCATGCCGGCCATCATTAAAGGTGCTTCGACATTGAAGTGCACGTCTCAAAAGGCAGCTGAGCCTGCATCTTTCTTTTTCTTTTTAAATGTATTTTATTGATTTTTCACAGAGAGGAAGGGAGAGGGATAGAGAGTTAGAAACATCAATGAGAGGGAAACATCGACCAGCTGCCTCCTCCACACCCCATACTGGGTATGTGCCCGCAACCAAGGTACATGCCCTTGACCGGAATGGAACCTGGGACCCTTGAGTTCCCAGGCCGAAGTTCTATCCACTGAGCCAAACCAGTTAGGGCAGGAACTCTTCTAAGAACTAACACCTTCTGCCTCTCTGATTGCAGTCCACATGGGCCGTTTCCATGTCGCTTTCCACATTGGTTTCCTCAGCTTCCCCGGCTTCCCCTGAGAATTCGGGAGAGAGGGTTTCTAAGGAGTCAGCAAAGCAAAGGAGCTGTTTGCCCAGCCCCCCGATGGACACTGGGAGCCGGGGGTCAGTTCCCTGTGTGTTGGGTGCTGGCAGCAGCAGCAGTGGGCAGCTCAGCATTTGTGGGAGGCAGCACACTTTGACATACTTCAACAGTGTGCCCTTGACAAGGATGGCAAATACAGCGCTGCTAGGAGCAAGGGCAGCAGAGAAGTCGGGAGATGCTACCAGGTGGGTGGCTCAGATAACTGTGCTGGTGAGCAGACAGGGGTACTTTTATGACACGGGGACTCCAAGGGAGAGAGCGATGGTTTGTGATGTGACCCCAGTATTTCATCACCGCCTCTTCAAGCCTCACCTTCCCCCAGGTAACCTAGGGAAAGTGAGATGGGGCCCGGGGCTGACTGCCGTCCATGGGCCACTGTCCCTCATCAACATGGAAGTGCTGCCACCAAGCCGACTTCAGCAGAGGGCTGACATGAGGAAGGCCCCTGTCCCTAAATTCTCCACAATCCGATCACACGCATGGAGCATGTAACAGGCTTTTCTGACATCTGAGACATAAGCAGTGTGCCGCGTCGGCACGGCCAAGGGTGACCCTAGTGGGAGCGGCTGAAAGGCTTAGAAAAGACAGACGAGAGAATGAAAGCTGGGTCCCGGTGGGACACTGTTTCTCTGAGGGAGAGACAGTGCACAGCGCCCAGTGCCCACAAACTGTGTCTTTATTGTATAGCAGATGTCTCGAGGCAAAGTAAGGGCGTGGTCAAGCTGTTTACAGCGTTCTCCTGGTTTTCAATCCCACTCAACTGCATGCACCTGAACTCTATCAAGCCCACATCACTCAGGCACGTGGGCCACGTGTTCAGACCACAGGTTCAAGCCCACAACCATAGCTGTTGGCTCTAATTGGGCTGGGAGGGCCCTGCCCTCCAAGCTGGGACTTGCATGTGGCCACGAGAGGACTGTGCCCTCTCATCAGTCCGAGCTTGAGCCTGTCCGAATACCGTAGCTGCTCCCCACAAAGGAGGAGCCTAAACTGTGGGGGAAAGAACTGGCCCTACCCAGTGTCTTTCCCAGCAGTCATCTGTCCACTCCCACCCCCCACCTGCTGCATGACCCAGCAGAAGCCACGACACTGACATGTTCTTGACCTTGGGCCACATTGAATTCCCAGGCCGGGCTCTCTCCCCGACTGGGCTAGGTAACAGGAGGGGAATCGGCAGAGAGATGTAGTCTCCAGCAGCCATCAGGGAGTTTATTTCTCTAGTTCTAAGGACTCTTCTGCCTCCTGTACAAATCTTGGAGCTCCTTGGGCTGGGAACTGCATCTCAGTCATCTTTGGCTCTCTCCTCAAAGTGAGGTCTTCACAAGCCCGCTCCCTTTTCAAGCCATTTACCACCCAGGCATTTGAAACCACAGAACCAGTACCCCAGATGCCGCCTCCTGTGGATTTATTCCTGGGAGGCGAAATGAGCAAACTGCGGGTGAAGGCGTTCCCAACCAGCCTCTTCTGCGGTGTGTATCCTGTTAACCGGCTGTCATTCCCGGGGCTGGGGTGTGCTCCTTCCTGCCAATGTCACTACTGACCCCGGGGTCAGACCTGCCACCCAGCGCGGGAGCCCTCCCTCTGGCTGCCAACCCGTTAGCGGAGCCGGCTGCACTCAGCTGGCCGCATGCCGCACGGGGGCGGCGGGTTTCACGGCCTGTGCTCTCCATCCGCGCCTCAAAGCCCGTTGCATCACGTGGGCCGTTTACATCTCTGCCCCGCCGACATGCAGCCCTGGCAGATGGAAGAAATTCTTAAAGGCTCTATTTCTGGGTTTTGACATTCAGAAGAAACACTGTGCTACCGCCTCTTAAAAATAACTGGTTGCGTGCCAAGCTATTTTCATGGCCACAGTGATAAATAAAGCAGTGCTAGACCACATTGTTCATGTCTATAGTAGTTGGTGATAATTCCCACATGCAAAAAAAGAAAAAGAGAGGAGTATTGGTATTTGGGAGGCTGTCTTTTCTTGCTTATTTCCCTTCCTTCTCTAGGCAGACACCCCGCCCCGCCCCCTTTCCCAGCCAGGAAAAGTCTTGCTGATTTGAGAAAGGTGAGGGGCTGATCTTTGAAGTAAAGTAAAGCTTTACTCTTTCCTGGAGCAAGAAATGTCTCGAGGCTAAAATAAGAAAGAGCCTAACCCACTTAGCATCTGATTCGGGGGAAGATAGATTCCCCCTAGAAACGTGGACGGCAGAAAAGGAAAGGGAAGCTAATTAGTGTACCAGGCCGTGCTAGCTTTCAAAAGGCTTGCTCAGAAAGAACCAAACCGGAACCCATTAAGAGGGCCCGCGAAGGGGGCGTGACCGTCACCCCTGGGTGCGCTTCTTTCCCGTCGCCCTTGGCAGCGCAGGTGAGGGAAGAGCAGAGCAGAACCGAGCGCAGGTGTGACAGCTGAGCGCTCACCGGCAGGTGCACCAGCTCCTGCATCACGGGCCCTGAGGAACGAGGCTCCTGCACGTGTGCTCAGCGGTGGGTGGAACCTCACACACGCTGCGGAGTGACTCCATCTCTGTGAGCAGAGCGGTCTGTTCTAGGGACGCTGGGGCCGTGAGAGAGCAATGTGATAAGGAGTTTCTGGAGAGCCAGTGTTCAGAGCCTCTGAGGAGTGCAAGGACCAGCTAGCAATACATGGAGGGGGACAGGATGAGTTTGCCTTTCTCTCCCCTGTCCCCCTTCGGAGGAGAAGGGGTAATTAATGTTCATTTCTCACTAAAGGGCAGTTCTTTCACTTTGATGTTGGGCAACCCATCAGATGGGCAAACAGGAGAAGGGCACGTTCGAAATCTGCATGAATAAGGATCACTCTGCCGCTATGAAGAGCAGGTTTTCCTACTTACACTACTAGGAAGCTGAAACCCAGGCTAAGAAGGGGGCAAGGAGCGGGAAAGTGCCCTGAGCGGTGAAGGGGGTGGGGGTGGGGTTTGGGTACCAATCCTAAGTCTGTTCCTGGTTGCTTATGGGACTGAGGGCTTTCCTGGGGCCTCAGTTCCCTCATCTGTAAAATGAGCACCAGTATTCTGGGTCAGAACCTAAGCAGCGATGAGCCTTTAAGACACTGTGCTCAGTGAAGTAAGCCCGTCACAAAAGCACCAACACTGTATGACTCCACTTACATGGGAGACCTAGAGTAGCAGTCAGATTCATGGAGACAGGGTGCATGCCAGGGGCTGGCAGGAGCCAGGAATGGAGAGCTGTTGTCTGATGGGGTAGGCCAGTGGTCAGCAAACTCGTTAGACCACAGAGCCAGATATCAACAGTACGACGATTGGAATTTCTTTTGAGAGCCAAATTTTTTTAAACTTCTTCTAACGCCACTTCTTCAAAATAGACTCTCCCAGGCCGTGGTATTTTGTGAAAGAGCCACACTCAAGGGACCAAAGAGCTGCAGGTGGCTCTCAAGCCTCAGTTTGCTGACCATAGGTGTAGGGCACATGTGTCAAACACAAGGCCCGCGGGCCAAATCCGTCCCGCCAGGCCTTGCAATGTGGCCCGCACCGCGATGTCATCACTGCACTCCGCTGCGTTTCCATCACAATGACAGTTTATGACTGTTCAGTAAACCATTCGGCCCGCGATTTAGGCTGGATTTTAGATTTTGGCCCCTTCTCTGATTGAGTTCGACACCCCTAGGTAGGGTATCAGATTGGGGAGGAAGAGAGGTCCTGGAGAGGGTGGTGAGGTTGCACTGCAAGGTGGCTGGGCTTAGTATCGCTAAACTGTACAGTCAGAATGGCGGGTTCTGTTACGTATATGTTACCACAACTGTAAGAAAGGAAAGAGGAAAAGAAGCAATTGCCCACAGCATTAGCCCACAATGCCAGGGGTCTCCCCAGCCACAGGGGCCAGGCAAGTTGTGTACATGAATGTGTGACCCAGTTACCTGCAGAGTGACGGTACACCCCGTGACACTGGAGAGGCGGTGGCTCCCCAGCCCAGCCAAGACTTGCCATTCATGAATGTGGGTAGGTTTTTTTCAAGAAAAGTGAAAATTCTGGATATTTAGCTGAAATTTCTGAATTCTTCAAGTTGGCAACCAATTTAAATTTTTAAAAGCACACAGCAACAAACTGTTTTGGGGGCCAAATCTCTTCTGCAATTTAGATTCTGCTTCCAGGCCTCTGACCTCTCCCTCTGTATATAGACAGTCCATCTGTGTCATCCGGCTCCCTTTTCTTCTTCCCCTGTCAGAATCACACTCCACACGTCCCCCTCAGCACTGGAGTGGCCAAAACAAGCCGTACCTGGGACAAGTCCCCTGACTGTCCACACTGTGTGCCCATGGGAGCCCACAGAACATGCCAGAGCAGGCAGGGTGTATATACGGTGGGCCCCAAAATGTATACACACACT